CTATTCTTTCCTTTCTTCCTTTTCCCCTCCCCTTAACTTCACTGAAGACAGTTGGTATTTATTTCCATGTAAGGCTGGAGCCAAGAAAGGATGTAAATCAGTAGTTGTGTAAGACTTCATGTATACAGAAATGGAAGAACAGATGCAGATTTTGCATTCATAATTGCTGTCTTTGCAAAATATATAAGGTGCTTTTTAGATTAGGGGTTTTGGGGTTTTTTGGTTGTACTCAAAGGCAGAAAAACTGGTGTCAGAAATACCTAAACCCTGAAATACATACTGGTGAAGAAGTGTGTATAGGATAAATTGAGAGTACAGATATGTCTACTTGTATCAAGACACCACTACAAATGCAGTAAACTAACAGTGTATTACACTGAGAAATAAAAGTTGCACATGCTCTTATTTGCTTTAACATATTTTACAAGTTGAGCGGGGGAGAGGAGATTTTTCTGTTTTAAAACATAGCATGGTCCTTTGGCTCCAAACAGGAACAATCCTTATCTTTCCCCTTCCAATAATTAATCCAGTCTTAACTTTGTAGAAATCGCACTGTAAATGAACAATAAACATGTCTTTTTTTCAGTGTTAACTAGCGTTGGAAGAGAAAGAACAGCAAACATCTCCCAAAAAGTGCAGACATTCTGACTTCCAGATTACAGTACATTGCTTTGCTTCTTCCAAATCCTGTTTACATGAGCAAGGTCAGGGGATGGAACATTAGAGAGCCTCTACAGTGATTTCCTGCTGCTGTCAGTAAAAACTACTGAGACATCATCAACTTTCCCTTGTTACCAACAGCTTATCAGGGACCAGACGTTACAGATGTATTGCCTTACAGACTTGAAAAAACCCAACCTCCCTCAAAACTAAAAGTAAAATCAGAGAATGAAACAGGAGGAAATAGTCCCAAAGGGAAACAAAGAGTTCCAATTTTTCCTTTTCAATAGTTCAGAAAACAAAGGCAATATTAAGCTGCTTGACACAGAGAGGCACTAAAGCTTTCAGAGTCAGCTGCGAAATAGAAAGGAGAAAGAAATACAACACCCAGCCCCCAAACCTTGACCCCAATTCAGTGAACATTTTCAGAGTGTAAAAGGCTACAATACACCTCATTTTTAATAACTGCAACACATATGAAGGCTCTGACCGTTAGAAAAGTCAGGACATTACACAAATACCTGTTAGTTAAGCATTTATAGCTTGTCTTTATACTGGTTTCAGTAACATATACAAGAACTAAATAAATGAATCAAGTTCAAAGCTATTTTCCTGACAGTAACAATACAGACAGTAATTCTTAATGTTTATGTATTACAGTCCAGAAGAAAGCAGCTCCATACTGACAATTACACTGAAGTTTTTCCACCAGCCCATTTACCACATTTGCTTCACTAAGTTTACAAAAGAAGGTGCCTCAGTGTGAATATTACATGAAAATTGTTTTTTCACCATGTTCAAAAAGAACTGGCCTTACAGCTTTAAGTTAGAACACAAGCTGGAAAGATAAGGTGTTTAGAGTTCAGGGAGTTTAATAATTTAAGGGTTTGCTAGCAAAAGCCTTATGAGAACATCCATACCTGCATGTCTTGGCTTAATCTCTGAAGCAAGAAAATGCAAGTAAATTTAAAAACCTCACATAAGCAGGCTTTTTAAATGTGGAAGTTGTCACGGACTGTTGGGTTTGATGAAGCAATAAATTAAAATTCCTTGAAAAGGAGGAGTGGAAGGAAGAGATAATACCAGTATTTCCTCAAACAGATAAAGCTCAAAATAAAAATGATTTGCTAAGAAAATATCTAAACATATATTTTGAATTCACAATAAAGAATCAAGACTGTTGAATGTTTAAATATTTGTTTTTCAAATCTTCAGGCAGACTGTTATCACGAAGAGATGACAGTGATACTGAGCTGCACCCTAATTATCTGCAGTTGTTCGTCCTGTTTTGGGCTTCTCAGTGCAGGAGACACTGACATCCTGGAGGGAGTCCAGCAGAGGGCAAACAAGACGGTGAGGGGGCTGGAACACATGATATACAAGAAAAAGCAGAGAATCGGGTTTATTCAGCCTTAAGAAGGAAGAATACAGAGAGATTTTACTGCATCTCAAACATCTAATGGGTGGATAGAGAGAAGACAGAGCCAGACACTTGTTAGAGGACCACTGTGATAGAATTAGAGGCAACAGGCATGCTGGAACATGGGAAATTCTAGCTACATATTATGAAAAAAACCCAAAAACCATTTTCACCAGTCAAACACTAGAGCAAACTGCCAAGAGACGTGGTAGAATCTCCATTCATACACATATTAGCAAATGAACCTGACAAGGCCTTTAGGAACCTGATCCAAGTTGTCTTTGCTTTAATGGGGGGATTAGATGAAATCACTCCAGACATCCCTCTCAATCTATACTGCTCTATCATTTTTATTAACAAATCTTTAGAGAAGGGAAGAAAAGGAATACCTTTCTGCTCTGTCACAAGTCATCTTAAGGGCAGTAATAGCATATTTCCTATGACCAGTAGTACAGGACACAGTTTCAATAGCTGAGGAAGATATTCTCAATAGGGAGAACACTTTCTCCCATTCCCAAGAGTAGCTTGAGATCTATGGGAGTTTGCACACTTACCACTAGGAATTTTGATAGTCATTCAACAAAACTTTATAAAGGTTTTGTACAGACTTCCAATCTCCCTGAAGAGATTGCAGGGAGCTTTAGGGAACTCATCACAGATGTTCAAAAGCTTCACTGTAGTTAGTTGTCCCAGAGAAGCTGGTCTTTTGAGTACTTGAGACAGTGATCTGAGAAAGGCTGTATCTCTCTTCTTCAGAAGAAAAATTAAACCTGTTTATTAGCTGCTTCCAGTGGTCCAGGGACTTGCCAAAGTATTTTGTAAATAACCCTTAGGGCCCTGCTGTGTCACAACCGTGAGAAATAGATATAGAACAAGAACCCTTAAAGATACCTAAGTGTAGAGTGCATTTTTTTCTCTGTACATGTCAGAAGGGGAGAAGAACGGCTTCAGCTTGAACAAAACACTTCAAAAAGAGTAAGCAGGTATAGATAATTAACCTGGCAACCTGATTAAAGAAAGATTTTTAATCATGTGAACAGTGCTCTTCCAGTAGAAATAAGACCAAAAAGTTGTAGGCAGCTTTAAGATGGGTCTTGACAATTTGGGAGGGGTGTAGGGGGAAGCATAGAGTGATACTGTCTTTGATAACCAGTATAAAAAGAGCAACCCAAGGGGTCTGGAATCAGGGAGAGGGATGGGGAAGGAAAATGAATTAGAAGTTGGTAAACTCGAGTTAGAGGAGGATTGAACAGAACACACACACACACAGACAAATAATGCACATAGTATCCATCAAAGTGCGGACAACAGTATCAAGAGGAAATCTGGCAGATAGGTTGGCAAAGTTGATGTACCTGTTCTTTACTATGGGAGAGGAAGGATGCTAGTAGCAGAGAAAACATGCAAATGGTTTCTGGATTTGTGTCAATGGTGGCGTGTCAGACAGAGCCATAGTCCTTAAGGCTGCAGTCTGAGTAACAAGTACACAGAAATGTTGCTAGATGGAAAACGATGCAGATGGTGAATGTTGAGGTGCAGAAAGGTAAGAATCAATGGAGAACAGGAGACTAAGATAATGAAAGAAAAGAAAAAAGAGGTAGTGATTACTGACACAGTCAAAAGGCATGAATTTTGAAGCAACATTCTTGTAATGAAAACTCAAAGCCAGCCAGCCATCAAAAGGACGTTTTCTCTAGTGGGTCAAGTTATTTGTACTATGAGTTCTGGACACAAAGATTTATAAATTACTCTCTTAACAAGAGAATTAATGAAGGAGATAAAAATGACTGGCAAATTTATAGATATGTAATAGAGAATTACAGTATAACTGTACATTTAATTCTGTCATCAGTATTAAGATCAGGAAGTATTTTAACATGATAAGTAGCCAATAAATTATATCCACTACAATCCACTATCTGTCAAGCCTACTAAAGAGATTTCTGTAAGTCTAAGATAAATTCTGTCACAAGGAACCATATTTTCATTGTGAAAACACAACATGACAACAGCTAAACCTTAAAATACATGAAGTTCTCTCTCAAATAAAAGTGATTATATAATTATTTGTGTTGAAAAGGTTTCTCATAGACATCATAATCTTTGTGAATTTTATAAAGTACCTTAACAACATACCTTTTCATAAAGCATTCACGACAAAATAGAATAGCAGAAACTATGCCTTCTGCCTATTCATATGTATTAACCCTTCAGCCACACAAACTCGTTTATAGTAACTAAAATTGCTCAAGATACAATTTATATCTTCACAGGAACAGACTCAAAGCTAGAAGAAAAATTCTCATTTTAACCTAATTCTAGAACAGTGCATCTTTTAGATTTCATACCAGGAGAACATATTTCTCCTCCTACGAAACTACCGCTAAAACATTGCCTTCCTTTCCTCCCACATGCCATACCAATGTCATATGAAGAGCTAACACTAGAAGGATCTAATCCTATGATTCTGTGATGAAAATGTTTCTTTTTTCTGTCCTTAAAAGGAGAAAAATTAAAACATCACCTTTGGAATTTTATCAATGAGACAACTACTCTTTAGGTTTCTCATTATTCGCAGATAATGGGAAGAGAGAGAGAATTACAAAAAGTGTTTGAGAATAAGCCACAAATTTTAACAGTAATGCCTAGATATAATTAGCATGGGTTTACAATTAGAATTTCTGCTTAGTGTATGGGTAAAATGACCAGTATAACATGAAACCTTTGCTATTACACCATCTTCTGGTCAGCCTTGGGAACTGTGAAGGAACGCTTAAACTGAGAAGTTAGGATACTGAGCTCTGAAAAGTTGTCAATGGTTTAAAAATGTATTTTGTTTATACAGACAGAAAGAGCACACATCCAATAACATTTTAGTTTAAGCTATACCATCTTTCCCCTCCTCCAGAAAGCAACTTACCGGAGTACTGAAAGATGAAGAGGAACTAATTTCGATGACAGGCGGGTCAAGTGCTTGTGTATTACTCACAAAGGTAGGGTTGACCTGTTGAAAACAGGTTATAAATATTGTTATTATTTCAGCACTTGTAGATAAAGGGAAATAAGACTGAAATAAAAAGGACTACTTCCTACATTAAAGCACCACTGTTCACTAAGGACTGGAAACAGGTTTTAAAATTTGTAAAACTAAAGGTAGGGTGCTACCCTCAAGCTATGTAAAATACCCTCATATAATAAAGATAATCCAGATGCACATTTATTACAGAAATATAATTTATACTTCATAGGGATCCATCACCCAAAACTAACTCAGGGGATTCCTACCGCAAGAGGTGCGAGCATTAACAAGTTCAGTTGTATGACAAATCAATAAAAATGAAGTGACAAATACCAGTTTGAAGTGGATTTACTAAGACAACTAAGTAAAAACCTGCCCAAGGCTGAAGCCATGCAATTAACAGAGTGGTCAATGATGCTGCTGAAATGCTGAACAACAGGAAGTATTCAAACAAATTCCCAACTCTGTCACTTCCAGATGTTTCTGAAAGCTTTTGCAGATGCACAACAACTATAAGGGCTCCTGGAAGTCACCTTTGAGTTTTACTTTCCAGCATCCATAACTTGTGGGTATAGTTACAGGCTGTCTTTCCTATCCCTTCCAGCCACCAGGACTGTTCCCAGCAGAGGTGATGTACTGCCCTGGGTAACGACTTGAGAGCTGCCTTCTAGCAACGATGCTCAATTAGCTTGTTACAGTTAAAGGACAGCAGGAGCCCTCTGCTTGTGGAGGCTGCTATATACAGCTATGCAGCACTGCTTTCTTTATGTTATAGTGGTCCCCTGCCTGTTGTAGTTTACTTAGGGCACATCCTCACTCATGGTCTCATACTGCAGCTTATAAATCCCACTACCATTCAGCCTGAGCTAGGGTCAGTGTGGTTGCAGTCACTCTGGCTCAGTAATACATAGGAAGGTGTGCACCAAGCCAGCCCAGAAGCCTGAGTTGCCTTACTGGTGTGGGTATATCATCAGCACCAAAGCTGAAAGTGAGCTGAGCACACACTGAGCAGCCCAGATCAATCAATTCCCAACTCACACTGAAGTTCCACAAATCATCTCTCACAACCAGATTATTGACATGCTTATTTCTTATGTGCCAGCTCAGATTGCCAAAATAGCTCGAAAAAAAACTCTGTTGCAGAAAACAGGTAGGAGGTAATACTGAAATCTGTGATAAGTTAACGGGCCAAACAAAAATCATGCTGTTCCTAAAAACACAGGGAAAACTGCTTTCTACTGGGTTAAAGTCAGAGGCTGATCAAACAAATATGTCATCACAACATTTGCCATTTGGCAATCCTTCTATCACAGTTGGACTACTCATTTATTGCTGGTTATAGGAGCTAATCTATTAATTTTAGCCATATTTTGTTAATGTCCTTTCCTGAAAGTGAAACATTAACATAGGAGACAATAAAGTTCGAGAAAGCTGCTGCTTTTATTTATCTGATGGTTTTACTTAAGTATCAGAATATCACCCCTATAAATTTTTTTTATGTACATCACTACCATAGTATTACCTAGGTGTATCGCAGCCTAATACATTTGCCCTCTCAGCATGATGAGGAATTTGAGGAGTATTTCTGAGTATATAAAATAACAAGAATAATATTTCCAAACTGAAAAAATTGACAGAGGTACTAGATGACTTTCAAATCACCAAGAAGTCTGGTGTAGTAAAAAGAAATGAACTTTTCTCTTTTCAACCTTCTATCAGTAATCCAACAGCAGCCTTACAAGACAGCATTAATTCCAACTTTGAAAGTGAAAAAATAAAGCAAACTCACTTACCTAGTGACAGGGCTATATTTTAGTTGCTGAAAGTTCACTGGATACAAGGGCCATTTTATTTTGTATTTTCACAGAGAAGGTACCTGCCACTTCACCTGGAGACCGTCAAAACTCTGGCTCAGCCAAAGCTGCTCACTCAGTAACAGCTTCAGTGCTACTTCCACAAACAAAAATCCGTGATGCTAAGGTTCATACACCAAACATAGTTGGAAACTTAACTTTAAAAACCAAGAAAGAAAACATAGAATACTAAAAGGCAAGGTAGAGGGAACTGTCATGTATTAAAGGCTTTCAGAAACACTCTTTCAAAGCATTCCTTTAATTACCTGGTAAACTGATATATTTCTGTTATCTTCCTCCAACATGATGCTATAATTAGCACATTTTGATACACACAAGAAAATACATTTGAAGAAAGGTTTCTACAGATCCTTTCATGTAAGGAATTACAGCTTTCTAAAGACTGAAGTAGAGCAAAATCAAAATATATCATTTAAAGAAAAAGTGAGATGCAGGAATTAGGATCCCTGCTTAGGACAGAGAACTAGGGGAGGAACAAAAGAAGCAGGCCCAAGCAAGTATGTGATTCTCAGCAACAGGCTTTAAGTAAACTTTTATGCCCCTACAGCTATCCCTGTATTGATTTTAATAAAGTATATCCAACCTCACACACCCCTTTCACTTTACTTTTATAATGCATTTCATAAAATGTTTCAGTTAGATCAAAAACCTAAGAACTAATGAAATTAAAAAATGAAGTTTTAAATGACTCCTATAAAGTATCTCCTAGGAAAGTGATGTAGCTTGCTGTGAAATAGTCTGTCCAAACATACCAAGATAAATTTAGCTTTCAATTTGATTAAACACCATTCCCTGTGCTAGACAAGGGCCTTCAAGACAAGCAAGCCGTATACTCTTATTTCTACTGCCACCTAGTGTATATTTGGGTTTCCTTCCTCTAGAAGATATTTACAGCTGAAATCACAATTTTAAGATGAAACTAAATCAAGAGTAGCTTTTCGTGCTCAAGATGGAAACTCTACATATCTTTATATGTTCAAACCTCAATGCTATGTTTTTAAAGGAAATTTATTTCTACCTTCAATCCACTTTAAAGATGTCTCTAGTGCATGGAAGATTAATTATGTACAAACACAGGAAATAAAGAAATACAGCTGGCATCAAGTGGAACACATTTTTTTTGGTATACTGCACTAAAACTGCATTATTGAGTAAATACATACATTATTTTCAAATATCTCCTAAAGCTCCCTGTTTAAAAGGGAGACAATGACTGGGATTTATTTCAGCTAAATTTAGACATACTGCCAAACACCTTTTTTGAGCTGGTCACCTAAGATTACTTCTATGGTCAATGAAAAAAAGTAGGCACCTTCAGGGTCATTTGCTTGTATTTCTAAACTGTTTGAATAATTGTAATGATTTTAAGCTTTAAACCTCTACTTAGTTGAATAATCAAGAATCACATTGCCCAGTGCAGTTGGAGAACATTTGTAAAGATTTATACGTCAAGAACATGACTGCATTAAAATTCAGGCTACTGCTGGTCTGAAGAAGAGGAGATACAAATAAGGAATTTCTTATAAAAGTTTGCTTCATATAAAAGTATGCTTCAAAATGCAGGCAGGGAGAGACAAAAAAAATAGAGATGAATCTGTGTATAGCTTCAAAGAGTGAACAGGAGAAGTTTTGAGAAAAGGTGAGAGTACACTGAAGCTCCATGCTTCAGTCACTACCCTGAAGACAAAATACCAGGTGACATCTGTAATTCTTACTGCCCTTTTGCAAGCTGTTTTGTTCAAAGCAACATTTCCAATTGGCAGTATGTGAAAGCACTACAACCATCTCTCTGAACCTAGCTGAATAAATTCTGAGCAAAGCCAGCTCCATTTTGTGTATACTATTTTCCCAGAATCAAGACCTGGACTAGTAGGGACCTTACCACATTTAGGCAAGCAGGGGTAGAGAATCAGTAACTATCCAAAAGCCGTAAGAAACCTGGAGAGGCATGAAACATTAGGAATTAAAAAAGCATAGACAGAATCACTTCCCTCGAGTTTTGCCTGTACATCTGCTGAACCTCTTGCATTCCATCACTTTGAATTTTTTCCTAAGGCAATCCATCTTCATTCCTGCTATAAAGGTGACTGAACTTAATCAGCTTAGCATAACTCAGGGCAATGTATTATAACAAACCTCAAGTGTCTTGATGACATTGTAATGGCTCGTAGCAAACTTTAAAAGGTCACGTATACTTTTAAGTATGCCATATCTGAACTGCCTCCTCTGCCTGCCTGTAACTCTTGCATATGTTACCAAGTCTCTTAAAACAGTTACTTCAGTTTAGTTAAGATCAATCATCTTCCCTTGCTCATCATGAAAATGAAAATAAACAGAAAGCAAGCAGTCCTGCATTTTCTCTGAAGTGTAGAGAAGATAACAGGAAAAACTGTGTCATTTCAGTTGCTGCACTGTAATGGAATAGATCACCCAGAGTGACTGGGGGATCTGCATCCCTCTTCAAGGCACCCTAACTAGACATGCTTATTTGAGACCAAGATACCCTACAGGAAATGTGATGTTAACAGAAAACTAAACACAGCAGCCTTTTTTAAAAAAATCCTGAAATCAGACTTGAAAATATACCACAAGTGTCCAAAACATTGCTATGACAAGTGACAAAACCATGAAGCCCTTTCACTACTACAGCAGCTAACTCTGAAGCCTGTGAACTGCTACAAAGGTTACAGCCATGAAGAAACAGAGACATTAAAGTGAAATCTGTTAAAGCTAATTGATAAATAATTTCTTGACCTTCAACTATCAAGTTTTCTTTATGTGCCCTTTCAGTATTGGTAATGAGGTGCTTCCTAGCCTTAGTTTAATTTTAGCCGGAATTCATTAACGCTTTTCCAGAGCTTCTCAATTAACCTGGGACCAGGGACAAGAACAGAAAATATCTGGAAAATTGCTTAGAAAACATTCGTATCTTTGCCAAGCATCTGAACAGAAGAAGTCTGGAAAAGCTGATCTGAAAAGAAAGCAACAACCCCTGCAGCCAAAAACTACTGTCATTTTTTAGCATGTTTTATAAGTGGCTGCAGTTTGAACATGCCTTGAAACAAGCTATTGATGCAGCAAGAGTAGTTTAAATCTGCTGGCAGATTGAGTCTGTTCCAGCACTGACCACCTATACTGAAGGCTACTAATCAGTAAACTTCATTCATTGTCCTTACAATGGTCTGACACAGAAGCTTATGAAGTTTGTCACACATGCAGTTGTCCTGCTCTTCTTCTGACCAAAACGTTAATCATCAGAAAGCTTCACATCCAACTTGACAACAGAATCAGACACATGAGAATAGTTAAGTGATGGATTCTATCAGGGTTCCCCTCCTCCACAAAAATATTTTCAAACTTTATAATACTCATACTGCATATATTCATACTGCACACAGACAAGAAATACAGAAAAAAGCTCAGTATCCTCAAATCTCAATTTTTTAAGTCTGAGCAGGAAACAAAATGCCATTGCACAAATATCTGCATTTTATATGAACAAATCCAGGTAATGGTGAATGTCTGTAGTACTTTCTTGGTGTATGACAAAACCCAAAAAGTTCCTAGATTTATATCAGACAGAGCTCTTGAACATCAGAGGCACCTGGAGAATATCAAAGAAGAGGTAAAAGTATAGGTAATCACCATGCAGAAGCTAGCCAGATCTACTAAGAACAGTCACAAGTTCATCCCTGGGGTTTTAGCACAAACAATGGTATTATCTAAGGCACAGTACTGTTTACCTACTTAGTACAGCTTTCACAACAAACACAGGATTTTCCAAATATTGACACAGAATATTTGACATTTCACTTTAGTTTCCCAATTCCCAATACTTTCAAGGGTTACTGGTAGAAGGTTTGACAGTAAAGTAGCCAAAGAATTAAATTATAAGGAAATCAGACTACACAGTGACATAACATACACTACTAGCCAAGAAAGGCCTCCTAAACTTTTAGATAGATATCAAGATCTTCTCAAGACTATAAAGGTCTTGGAAAGAGGGCAAACTTCTGATAATCAAGTATTTGACTTTCAGTAATAATGCCACCTTGTCCTGCTTATGAAATATTTCAAGTAGTATCTTAAAGCTCAAAAATTCAGGTACCTTCTGCAACAGTTGGCATGTTACTTCAGGAACCAGACTATCAGCTACATTTCATTTAAATTAGAGTACAGACTTACACAAGAAGTATGAAAGGAATTCATCAGGATAAATCTGACAGCATCAGACAGCCTAGTAACTTATGTATCCACATTAAGGTTATGTGCAATACTTTGGAGGCAACCATAACAACAAAAAGCTCTCTGGTATACACAGAACATATTTAACTATAAATATGTTTATTTAGATAGTGTTTACAAAGCTTCTGGTTTCCTGTATTTGAGTCCTTATTGCACTTACCTCAACTGACTGAATTTTTTCACCATGGAGATGAGGTGACCTTGGGTAAATATCAAGAAGATGAGGAGGATCATCAAGATTTGTTCTTCTAATATGGTGTTTAAGAACTTCTTTATGATCCCAAGAATCAAAGTTGGTTTTCCATAGTAATACCTGTAAGGAGCTGTCATATTAGTAACTACTTGAAACTTATTCAGTGACCAAACCATAACTATTCAGCAAAGTCTGTTATTACTGATAGATCACAACATCAGAATGAGCCTGCTATCACCATTTAGTCTATCTTTACTACAACACAGGCAGCTCCCCAAAGTATCCTGTGCTTCAAGCCTAACAAATTTAGTTTAATCTATTTAAACATATATATATCTAAAAGATGTCTCAATGCTCATGAAACAAAGCAAATTTCTGTCCCACTGAACTGTACAGTTATTTTTTCTGCCAAATCAAGGGATCATAGACTATCAATTTTCTTTCCACTTTAAAAACTTGCAGGTCAAACAAGAAAGTTTGAGGGCATAAGAGAAATTATAGAGTTCCATACAACTCTAAAGCACTTTGTTCCAGCGTTTTAGCAAAAGGAATCCGTTTTCTCAATTTTGTTCAATTACATTCAAGGTAGAAACAACATACAACAGTCAGATACACCCAGTGCAGTTCAAAACGCCCAAAAGATGGCAGTTTCCAAAAATATTGATTTTTACAGCTACTCTCTAAATTAGAGGGGACAAATGTGAGATCACAATGAGACTTAAAACCGTCCAGCCAAAAATATTTTTGACAATCATTACAAATATTTTCCAGAAATTAATAAACTAGACATAAGCAACAGAAATCACAGATTTGTCACAGAAATTCCAAGTGACTAAATCATATTCTTAATATATTCCTAAGTAGTTTCATTGTTACAAGTTCATTTCAGGTTCAACATTTTCATGACTCTTGAGTGGAGGACCCTAAATACACACTGGGAGACACAGTGCACCTATAAAAATGGGCCCAAACTATCTCAGACATTAGCACCAGTGAAAGTAGGATGCATGGATCTCAGTACAAACTATTCAAACCTGCCTCAGAGCCTGGAACAGGTAGGTGTTAGGTTAGTTCATTCACAGCAGCTCACTGTGCTCACTCACAGCTCATTCCTTAACTGTGTAGTTCCACTACCTCCATCACCCAGTCCACCATAAAGTTATTCACATTTTGATGTGGATTTACCCCATTTTTTCAGGCTAACTTTTGGCTGATTTAGCAATTAGAACTTTCCTCAGCGCTGACTGTAAACAAGGGTATAGGCAGCTATAGGCAGGTAGGACCTTTCATCAGTGGGGAACATTTGAGCTGCTCAAGCCAAGAAGTGTGATGAACATGAACTTCAGAGCTCTACATGCTTGAGTTTTTCTGATTGAGGAAAGAAACAGGAAGAAACAGTGCTTGTTTCAAATACTTAACATGCTTCTGAGCAAAGCCTTCAGCTGGCTCTGCACCAACCAGAAAGAAACTTGAAACTAGAAGCAGAGATACTGGTTTTCCTTCTTTCATGAGTAATAACAGATTTTATCTGTTGTTTGAAAATGTAATAGTCTTCAAATAATAGCTCAATTCTATCACAGCGATTTGAGAGAAAGTCCCACAACTATTTTCCTGTCAGGCCTGGGAGAGGACTGTGGATGGGTCAGCAAAAAAAGTATGTTTGTGGAGTACACGTGTGCATACACCAATAGAAAATTGACGCTGAGGAATAAAGTTCTTATGTTTACTATATATAAAAATATATACATAGATAGTTACCACATAATTGTTAGCACTGCACATTTTAAAACTTACAATACAAAATTACGACAAAAGTGACACCAAAATAAGCAGCCCTCTCCCACCGGAGTGTTCACAGGAAAATGAGGCAAAACTTCAACAGATAAAAACATGCCTTTCTGTAAGGTAAATAAACCCAGGATCCACTATTAGACCTTCTAAGACCTGGCTACTTTTTTAATTCATCATTTGCTTTAATAAAGCACTTCCTGATGAAACTGGATCTTCCCTATCATGCATTCAGCATGAAACCACTACACTGAACTGCTGAGAAATGTGAGTCATCTTACAGATTTTGGAATATAATGCTCACTCACCCCAAGATCCCACATACCAGCTTTACAGCATGGATTCAGAGCAGGAGAAAGGCAATGACATGACTCCACTGAATATGCATGTCATTCAGGGGATCCCAAATACAAAGGAACCTTGCAGTAAGACAGGCACTCCTAGGGTATGTTGGCATTTATTTCAGAGATTGAGTCAGGTTTAATACTGTAGGTCCCTTCCATCATCATGGCTTCTCAAATGGATCTTCTGTCATGTGGCCTAGTGTAATACATGCACTTCACTTCCTCCCAAGTATAATTGTCATAATACTAATTGTCATAAAACTCAAAAGTGAGTATTCATGAGAAGTAAGGCAAGCAATTCAGAATTACTTAGGAATCAAAGCTTCTTTCTGAAACTGAAAAATTCTCATTAAAAACAAAAAACCCACTAAAAAACCAACCAAAAGCCAAACCCTTTGGTACAGAAAATAAAAGATCAGACTAGCGGCTCAAGGAGTAAATACCTTTCCTCCATTCTTGGTATTTTTTTCTGCTTGTAAAATTAATATTGAAAGTTTGCTAATGTTTTCACTTTTTCAATAACTGCAAGTCTTGCACTGCTTCTTACTAACACTTTGTGATAGAAAGCAATTTTATTTTCTTTATTTTGAGTGCTTTCAATTCATTCTAGAAAGTGTGCTGCCTGAAATGACAAGTAAAAAACCAGAAACAGACTGTATTGTAATGATAATAAGGTTTTTAATTGAAAAGTATTTATTATATCTCAAGACTGACTCTGTCAGTAGCTGAAACATATTTCAAACTCCACAAAACAATATAAATATGACCTATAGTAAATTCAGAAGATTTTCATTTCTACGGTGTGGCTTTTAGCTTTTCGTAACAGGAAACAATGAAAAAGACAACTAATATTAAAAAACATTCAGACTGAAACTCTAAGCCTTTGGCTACAAAAGTTTTTTCTCTTTGGGGAATGTAAAGACCTGAGATGACTTCGAGCTTGATAGTATTTTTGTAATTATGAGATTTATCACAGCAGATGAAGATTAATTGTATGATTTGCTGTTTAACTTGTTTTGTTTTAAATGCTCAAACAACTCTTCCCTGTATGAAATCTAATACTTTGCTAATTTGTATTAGTGAAATCACAAAGCCAACAATTTCCTGAATTTTAGCAAAGTTTTCCCAGTAGTACAACTTAATACTCACAGAGTAGTGACTTTAAAAGAAGTAAAAACCTAACAGAGAGAGTAGGCTTTAATGCTAGTTGCAATACTTTGTTGACACTGAATTGTGACACTTAAAATATTTCTGTTTTAAAACCACTCCTTTATTTTAATATATAGAACAGAAGTATTCAGTATTAAGGTCATCTCATCATAACGTCCAGTTGGAAGTCTATATAAAACACTGCCAGACAAAATACAGGTCAGCATGCTGTAATTAGCACGGTACTGTGACATACTACATTTAACTCCCACCCACTGTAACAAACATTACAACAATTAAAGAGACAATACCACAGACCTGAGCATCTGCTCCACCTGAGGCAAATTTTTCACCTTTTTTTGAAAAAGCCACAGAAAGTACAGGTCCCTGAAAGAAAAAAAAACATGTATACAGTAAAGGTATGCTATTCCTGTAATCATGGTATTTTGATGTAATGAGAAAAAAGACTTATGCCATTATCTAATATAAATAAATTTTTCAATTTTAATAAAGGAACAATCTAACTGGAGTGAACTTTTCACAAAACAACTTGACCGAAGAGTTGCTACTGCCTACCTTTGAAAGATGCTGTATTACAATTACTACAACCAATACTAAGAAAACAGTGGCATTTTCCTTAGATTTTATGCTTTAACTCTGCAATGAGTTATCAACGTGTTTCAGGGATTCATTATCAAAAGTAGGGCTTTGCATTAAAAAGTAAGGGAGAAAACATCTGCTATTCTTCATAAAACTTCTTTTCCATAAGCCTCCTTGTTCTTAGTGCTATTTTTCAATAGACGACTACTGTGAAAAATAATTGATTTTGACAATCAAGAATTAATTCAGAATGCAATATATTACTTAACATTAAGCATGCATAAAATATTGACAGATTAACTGCACAGTCATAGGTAAAACCGATGCATTTCTTTATGCACTTGTGATTAAAGTGTATTAATACAACTCTATGCTGTCCACTGAAGCTGTCTGCAAAGTGCAGGATACAAGACACAATGGCATAGGTGTTACCTTCCCTTTGAAAAGATACCAAATAATCTATTAAGGTCTCCATTTAAATAGGATTATTGAGTATACCTTGTGTCCATGAAGAGTGTAAATAAGCCTTCCTTCTAACACGTCCAAAATCTTAAGGGTACCATCATCAGAAGCAGTGATGAGATAGTTACCAGAAGGATGGAATGATACACAGTTAACTCCTGCTCTGTGAACTAATTTACAGAAGACAATATTCAAAGACTGTAGATACCTACTAACAGGAAATGTAGACTTTATTTCTTTGCTCTTTTCTACTTCCCAAAGAAGAAACTAGATAACTTAAGAGAAAAACAACCAAAGTGCTGGGGCATAGCACTCTCCAAAGTAATTGATTAGTTCTGTTCTAAGAATTAAGAAAATCGCTACAAAGGAATACTCACAATTTAAACTGGATTTTTAGGGTTGCCAGACTACAGAAAGATTATTTACAATATGACTTGTTTCTCTATTTTCCCCATTAAGGAATAAGATCGTATAATCTAAATAAATCACATTTAATTGCACAGAGCTCCACTGTTTTTACCTTTGTAATGCTGCAGTAGCTTGTTCATTCGAATATCCCACAGTCTCACTGCATGATTGGAACCAGCAGAAGCTATACACGTACCACTTGGATTGAAATCCACAAAATTTGCAAATCTAAATACAATTAACAAAAACAGATTAATTGCATGTTTCCATTGAAATATTGGGGGGGGGCAGTGTGTATACATATGCACACACACATATATATATAATTTTTTTTATATACACACACACACCCCCCCCACAGTATTAACACTGAGTTGCCACAGATTTGTGTGAAATCAAATAAGGTATTTTAAGCAACTGAAATTAGCATAAGGAAACAAGATGTGCATGATAAATCAGACTGTATAACCTGGCTTTTGTTAAAAAGCTAGTATAATCATTCTGACTCAAATTTTCACAGGTCGTGTTGGAGTACAAATCTCCCAGAAGGAAGTGCTGCAAAGAGTTTGTAAGCAAAAAGTAAAATAATTTTGCCTAAGAACAGAATATCTAGCTATAACAATCTTTTAGACTAGAAAAAAGATAGTTTTCTGCAGCTCCTTGTTCATGAGAAGGCAGCCATGAAAATAGAGAAGTAAATATAAAAAACTTATATTCTGTTGCCTTTGTTAATTAAAACTCTGGCTCTAAGATGCTTAAGAAAACTACAGATAAGTAAAAGCAATTGTTTTCTAAACCTAAATAAGGCAGGTCACTGAAGCTAACCTAACACTGTCTCCCTCAAGTGAAGAATTCTTAAACTTCTCTTCCTCTTGAAGCACCCAGTATCAAAAAGCATTATGAAAACAAAGTAAAAACATGAAAACCTTTAAAAACCCAAGAACAATCTGACTTCTCTCTGGCTTATTTCTTGACTATTGGAAAACAGCTAGTTAAACTCTTTAGAAAATGTGATATGAATTATTTTAGTTTACATGGGTGGCAGAAGGTTGATCTATTTTCAGACATAACATATATAGATGTTGACATCACAAAGCATGAACTAAATCTCATGAAAATTACACCGTTTCATTTCTCCTTTTTTGCTAGTAACACTTACCCTTCATAATCCAAGAGGCTCTCAATACAAGTTTTATTTCTTGTATCCCAGATCTTAACAGATTTATCCTCACTGCAAGATGCTATTAGTCTTCCATCAGGTGAAAATCTGGAGCATACAAGTGTGTACGTTACTACACAACTGATACTACCTAGATTAGAATTAGAGACATAAGTTCCAAAACACCAGAATCAAGAAAGCCCATTTGGAATAAAAATGTGCAACATTTAAAGGACATTTGAATTTCTCATATTTCTCATGGAGTAACAAAACTGAAAACAAAAGCTTCTCTCCCCTACTCCTCCCCCCTTCATTTCACAATCAACTACAGATAAAAACAGAGCCCTAAGCAGAGAGGGTGGGGTGGGCTGTAGAGAGGGGTGGGTAACAGCAGCCTAAGGTTCTCACTTCAACTGCAAAGAGATTGTTATAGAAAACCATAAGCAAAAAGACAATGAGGACACAGTAAAACCTTGTGTTCCAATTTTAACCTACATATACATTCCCCTGTGAGTTCTCTCTGGACCTACAAACTATCAGCAAAACATTCATGATTATTCCTAGACTAGCAGACTAGGTCTTTAAACAAGAAAATCAATTTGTGTTAACTTCACCAACCATTATTATTTCTTATAGAGAGCAACTGCACAAGGACATTAGAACACAGTTCAAGAACTTTTACATCCAATTTCCTAGTGCTTTTAATTTTAAACAATCAGATACTTCAGAACTTTGTAGGGTTTTGCACTTCACTAGTGTTACATTTCTTTCTCAAGATGTTTAAATCAGGCCTCTCCTAGCTGCAGATTTTCCACTAATATGGAGGGGGAAAAATAATTAAACTCAAAGAACAATCTTTTCTTGTCTTTGAAGAGCTGCCCTGCCTTTAAATAGAGTGCAAATCTTAACTTGCAGTACAAAGGCCATTTACTTTACCTTTTCCAGTTACGTACTTAACTCATTTTGACTCATGACCATTCCTTTATACTGCTATGTTCCAAGAATAGTTGGGAAAACCCCTACTGCACATAATACATCTAAAAACAAGTGAATCTGTGAAATGAGTTAATACAGCACAGAAGCATACAAGACTGCAGAAAGACAGGATACAGACTAAAAATGAATACAGAAGACCTTATTTGTCCTTTAAAGAATCAACACCCAGCAACAGATTTAACCTGTAGACATATTAACACATAGAGCAAGCTTTCGGACTTCAACCAGGAGATAGGTATATATATAACACGCGTGCATACAATTGATTTATTTAAATGTCATTATTAGTGATAAATCATTGTTTATCATTCACAGATTTTTCTTCTCTTAGTTCTGTCCTGGGAAATAAAACCCCTTTGCTAGTAGTTCTGCTTCTTTACAAAGACAATAAAAACAACACTTACTTGGCACAGCAAACCCAGTGAGTGTGTTGGAATAGGGAAAACAAAAGGCATGGATGGCAAACACTCCATATTTTTATTGATTTATCATTGGATGCTGAAACTAGAAAGTGGCCATCCTGAGAGAAGCTCACACTACGAACAGACGCTGTATGACCTTTCAGTACCGATGATTCTCCATGACTAGTGGGGGAAAAAAAACAAAACCCAAGACACAAACTACAATTATATTGAACTGACTGAAACCCCGTAAGACTCAAAGTTAATATATTTGGCATCTTATGCAAATGAAAAACCAATGTATACAGCTTTAATCTTAGTTCGGCCAATATTTTTGCCTTATTTGAATATTAATTATTAGAATAACAGACATCAAAGTAATTGTATGACCAATTTTGGAGAATGGTGCAATTCACTAGCAACATTAGCTTCCATACTTGTTTATGCTCCCTAATGTCTGTTTCTGTCAAAGCCCAAGGATGCGGGAAGAAGACAGAAACTTTTCTGGGGTAAAGAGTCAATTATTCATATTGCACATTAATGAAACACATAGCCAGCATTGCCTAGTTATACTCACATGCAAGGAATCCATAGTCTGACAGTACGATCCCGAGAAGCTGAAGCAAGCAGCTGCCCATCCGGCGAGTACTGTATGCTGGTCACTGCTTCTGCATGGCCTACAAATCTGTAAGCTCTGCATTGGGCCTTCAGCCTCCACACCATAAGAAACCTATCCAAAGAGGAGGTAGCTGGCAAGAAATTAAAGATACTATAAGTCTGCTCGCTCTTTATGGAAAAATCAGGGCTAATGCCTACAGATTTGGAATACCCAGTGAACTGACTGGGTATTAAGGGGAGGAAGCAGTTACTGTGTTTTAATAGATACTTGGCCAAAGTAGCAGCCAGGCAGCCAGCAATGCCAACACCAGGCTCTTGGAGGGATATCAGAAGACAGGGAGGAGTAAAGGACAATCCTTAACAAGTAGCTCTCCCATATGTTAGGCAAACTGGCTTACAAGTACTTTAAAGATATAGAACAAAAAAATACAAAGCAGAACATCATGCACATGTAATTAAGTATGAATTCAGATTTAGCATTACCAAATATTAAGAACAGACAAGTTCTTCATAATCTCAGTTTGATCTCCAAAACGGAATTTGTTTCAAGCATCAAATGTTTAACTTTGGAAAGACAAGCCAACTGAAATTCAAGATACCATTTCTGACACTTCAGATTTCTATACAGAAGTGAATATCCAAATTCTATAATCCTATTTTAGTACCAATTTTTTATACTAACATTTGTCTAGTTCAAAACACAATATAAAGTTGTCAGTCTAATAACAGAAATTTTTCAGTCACTGTACAAGTGGACCATACTATCTGCATTTGAGAAGGCAGGCACAGCTTTTACCAGAGCTCGATCATTTTCAGGAAGCTATAAGCAGCAATAACAATGAGCAGTTCAATTAAACTGACGAGCATGATATTTCTACACCCCTATTATCTTCATCTGTGCTAAGTGCTAGCATGCAGGACAAGTAAAAACAAGGGATTCTCACTCCCACCGCTGTTATAAAATCCCTACCTCTAGTACAGAAACGGATGCAGAGGAAGAACAGTAACCTCCTGGAAGTTGAAGAGGACATTAAAATGATGGCTTTTTCTCTTCCAACCCTCTTTCAGGCACCAACACAGCACACCGGAATTAAGTTTGTTTATTAGCATATGTGTCAAGGCAAGCCTCAAACGAAATATTAGGTATTAAACTCTTTAGGGATTTGGCACAGAGATACTATTTTTACTCCCCAAAGATTAGCTTCTGGTAAAATATATGGGCATAGAGAGAGTCTGGACCCACACCAGTAAGGCTAAATTTGACACAGAAATACAGGATATTTCTCCCCTCCAACTTTTCAGAACTCTATTTTACAGCAGGCTCCTTCTAATTGTACTTGAATGATTTCTTTCTCCCCTTTGATTCACAAAAACATGACCTAGAGTTGCATAAAACAGAAAGGAAGAAGTGAAATGTAAGCTAAAGAGAATTTGAAGGCATCAGGTTGGAAATGTGGAACGCACAAGATTAATGGTTTCCAAAACAAATGATGCATGAACTTCCAAGTACTTGTGGTACCTTATGAACTGCATGAAGGCAATGTAATACTAACCCTCTTTGCTTTCAGTTCCAAAAACTAGAGGAAAACATCTTCCTTGTTCTCCCTCTGGGCTCCCTGTTGCCTAGGCTCATGCAGCATTCCTTCTCCATCCTTAGGCAGGTTTCTTTCTTGAAACCACCTGCTCAGTGACACTCAAAGACTAGTATCTCCGATACTGCAGTTCCAGTCCCACTGACCCCAGTCCAGGGGTGACGGAAGACAGAAGGGTGCTGCACAGGAAAGGGGGAATAACTGACAGACCTGTTGCGGAATTATTTTCCTGAGGCACATGGGCTGATATGACTGTATCTGTACCCCTCTCTCATGTTGTTAATCCAGACAAAGAAAGTCTAAAACAAAACTCTGAATCTATATTCAACTTTTGCCCTATCCTGCCAGGGAAACAAGGACCCTTTACCCTTAACAAGCCTCAGCCAAGACAAGCCATACCCCCTTCAAGTAGGCTGAAATCCATTTTGATGCATATGGCTAATGCCCAAGTATTGTACTGTAACAGCAAATATTTTATCTTAGCTAACCGTAGGCACTAGATTATATGGGACGATAATGCTGCCAGCGGTCATTTCCATTATCAATACTGATCTTAAAAACAGTTGTATTCATGAAAAATACACTATTACTATTATTAAATAAACTTCTCTGTTTCTCTTTTTATTCCATTTTAAGAGCTTTTCCCTACTTCCAGCAATGCTTGCTTCCCCAGTTTTCTCAAGCACAGTACCTTAAGGATTGCTCCTCAATCCTTTCTGCATTTTTCTCGAGTTCACATTGTCTATGCATTTAAATGTTCAAAAGGAGTAGAACAAGGACCATCCAGGGCAGATTTCACATGAGATCTTACAGCAATGCAGATCAGATCCAGTTGATGAGCTGCCAGTGCCTGCTAAGTACGCCACCAACCTACAGTCCAACTTTCAATTACCAGACCACCAGTAAATGGTCCACAACAGATCTTCAGGGCTAATTTAAAGTACTGGAATTGAAACAAAAGAAACAGGTTCAGAAGAATTTCTTTAGGATGGGCCATACCACAAATGGGTCTGTTGCACTTGCTCCTCGGAGAAACCACGACATAACCAGAATCAAGTTTACAGCAAAGACAAATTGTCTTTCACCTCTAGTAATGAAAATATTTGATCAACTGCAAAACATAACTAGAAAGCAAGCTGAAAAGTCTGAGCTGACTCCAATTTAAAATGTAATCTATTTTATAAATTCAGTGCCTTTCTCCCCACCCCCCTGCCCCTCTTTCTTAGTCAGGGTTTTCTGTACACACCCAAGTATAGTTGACGCATCAGTAGCTAATTTGCTTTTCTGGTGATAAGTCATAACAGAATTGAACACCAAAGAATAGCCTTAGCCTTATGCAAAGGCCAAGTTTGTACATGGCTTTGCTGCGGTTCTTTAAACAGATATCTGGGCTATCCTATATGCCATGAAAAAAAAAAATTATGGTATTAGCAGTGAAACAAAGTTCAATTTATAAGTTGTGAATACTGATGGCATACATTTTCAGATGTACACATGTACATATGAAGACACAAGTTGCCACAATATAGAATTACCATTACACCCCCATTTCTCACAATGCCACACAGTACTGACTATATGAAAGCTGCACACAGATCAGAAGAGACATACTCTGCCAGGCTTTAACAGCTAAATGTACCTCTTGGTCACCCTTTTTCCATAGCAAAATACTGAGACACTCCAATATAATTAACCCTGCGCAAGAATTACAGGTCAGATGCAGTACAGGACTGTGTAAGTGATGTATGTGTGTAAATATTCAACCACCACCACCAATCCAAAACACACATTTAACAGGAACTCTGCAAATCTCAGTGTGATAAGGTGTAACGTCCCAGTACAAACACATTTAATAGTGATTTGCAAGATTTCCTACTTGGAGGAAAACAATTACTAATTGAACCTCTATCAAAGGAGCCAATCTGGAATAGTAAGCACAGTGGATAAATTACAAGGAACTTTTAATAACTCCTATAACTTCAAGTTCATGGCCATTTCTATTTTACGCTGAATGTAGTTACACAGGTGGAAGAGAACTGAAAAGAGTCAGCATGATAGCCAACATTTAATTATCATTCTGAATTTTATTTATTTTTTCAAAAGAAACTCCAAAACCCTCCCACATTTATTCAGTGTTAAGTTTATATTCAATTTATTTTAAGTCACTTAAAATCAGTAGTTTAAAATATATACAAGTGTTTCCAAAATTTTCAAAGTCTAACAGAATAGAAAATCTTTCACAGTTTCAGATTTTCCAGAAATATGTACACATGTAAAACAACTGGATTGGAGCATTTCTGTAGAATTGCTGCAGCTAGGTTCAGAACTAATGGAACTTGAAATGTTAAGGTCAAGAGGCAGATTTACTTAGAATTATTGCTTAAATAGATAAGGAACACTTTGAATGTCAGCTGTTACATGAAGGTAGCTCTTCATATGAAATGTAGTCTTTGCCAAGTGCTAAAAAAGTTAATTGTATAAACATTGCATAGTTTATATTCACACCATTTAATTACTTTCATCTGAGGAAACATGGACTGCACATACAACTTATGCTCTGCCGTGTAGGAGAACCCAGGCCTTTTTCCTGTCAGGTCTATTGAGTGCAACAGTCTACAGCAAGCTTTCCACAAAAGCACATAGTTTATGTAATTCATTGCCCCCAGTACACAATGACTGGCTGCCTTTTAAAATTTGATAAATGGTTCATAACTTGTAGGTCCACAAAAGAATTCCTTGCTACAGAGCAGAATGGAATTTTTCAGGAATGTCTCCCTTATATGGTAAAGAGATTCCCTTTAAAAAAAAAAATAATCAAACTGCAAGTAACCTCCTAAAAATAAGTTATCAACTTAAAAAGCTCATGCCACACAGTGGAGAGCATTTTTTACCAAGATTCAATGCTACCTCTAAATTTTCTTCTTGTTCTCCTTCTACCTTACCCTACTTTCACCCAAACCTCTCAACTCTTTAAAACCATCTGAATTTACTGCTGCTTTACTCTTTTTGGAAAATCTTCATTTATTCCATGTCTCACTTCTCCCTTTTAACCCTTCTACCTACTAAGACCTGCAGCAAATGCACACCTACTACCTTCCTTGAGTATTCAGATTCTTATGCATAATAGCTCAAGTTGCTACCTACCAGTCCTATGTCAAGAGCTATTACACTGTGGCTACTGAAGAACATTAATCACTTCAGTGAAAAGTAATCAAAAAAGCTGGAATGCCCAAAATATGAAGGCGTTCAACTTGAATCACATAAAGCTAAAACACACAGATACTAGCTAACACAAGGTTTTAATTCTCCAGGTACACAACACACTGATTCCATCTACGGGCTATAATCACGCTCAGATTAGTGATACAATTCAAGAACCAATATTCCTCAAAAGTCAGTGTAACAGTGTACAGAAAACATTCTAAATAAGTTGTTCTTTGAACCACCAAACTGACAAATCTTGGTTTGCTCCAAGCTGCCCTTTGTCTTTTCAACTCCCCTCATTTCAGGACCTTCAGCTTCCCAGCCTCCCTCAAGGTCTTCCATGGTACTATTGCAACTAGAAAGAGGTGGCATATGCCGTGTTATTTCAAAACTCCACCTAAAGCTGATGCCAAAATATATAACGCAAAACAAAAACACCCAAGTTTTCTTCTGTCTCCTTCCTCTACCCCACTAACAGACAAAAAGAGTATACATGGTATAGTCACAGAATCATAAAACAGTTAAGGATTCAAAAGGACCTTAAAGAACATCTAGTTCCAAACCCCCTGCCACGAGCAGGGACACCTTCCACTAGACCAGGTTGCTCAAAGCCCAGTCCAATCTTAGTCACATAAGCTATGTGTCCCTAGGATGCCAGGCTTAACATGGGAAAGCTTACACAAAGGCAACATAAATGTTAAATATATAGCCAAGAAACAGCAGGAGCTAATGCAGTTCTGTGCTTGTTTTCTTTTGTCAACTTTAGACAGAATTCTTATTTGCAGTCATCCCTATTTCTTCCCATTTGTAGTACCACCAGCATGCCCTTGGTTCCACTGCTACCACATTTTTCTATGTTTTCCAGAACAGGTGCATGACTGCAAAGCAGTGCCAAAGCCCATCTACTAAAAAAGCCTTCCTTTTCTTCATTGCGGTATAGCTAGCAGTCACTCTGAAACCCTTAAGAGCATGTAAATCCCCAGAAAACTGCAGGATACAAAAAAGGCTCAAAGGTCAACTTTCTACATCAATGTTGGTTCAATTGCATGCTACTGTAGCATTACTTGGGGTATTAGACACATATGTTATCATGTACCTGCAACATACGTCAGTTAATTCCACCTCAAAAACCTGAACTTCTGGTAAGTAAAGATTCTTTACTTTCATGTAACATTAAACCTACAAGGTAATGTGCGTAATTTTTTTTAAGAATTAAAATCCCTCCTCAGTCCATTCAAAAGCCCTTGTTTTACCATAATCAAGACAAAGTAAGAAAACAATAGATCAAAATTTCACAAAACCAAAAGGCATTAGATCTGTATTCAGTGATTTAGAAACTAAACCCCAGTATTTACTTCTGCTTTCCATACAGTTCACCACAGAAAATATAGTTTTTACACCACTACAAACACGTAGTGTGTAATGTCTTCAGATGTGAAGTTCAGTTATGAAGTCATAACTGTATACCTTGGAATACAACCAAAATTGCTATCTGCTCACACACATAAACCCCCTGGAGATTACAGTCCATTCAATTTGTACTACCAGCAGTGATCATTTCTCAAATTTCCAAATCTGATTTTTATCTGCAGCATTACAAGTTCTCATTTGCACATCAGCACGCCCCTCAGTCGTACGATAAGCAGTAAGGCACTTCCCTGAATGAGGATGATAAATAGTCCCATCTTCTTTGAAATGCCATATAATAATTTCTGGGACAGGAGAGCCATCTTTTGGGCAGCTTCTCATGCCTATGAAATCTTCATGCTCAGGGACTTCAGCACATAGCTCAGTTACAGAGTTAAATCTGATCTCCTTATTTGATGTGTATTCAAAAAATTGATTGCCTCCCTGACCATGACATCCAAAGAGAGAAAGGTGAGCCCCAGTAGGATTATGTTCTGGTAAGACATAGTCAAGGCATTCTGAAGCTATCCCCGTGCTGCGGATAGCACCATGCCAGCCAGGACGATCTTCTGGTACATGCAACTCAGCAAATACGTTCTTTAAATACCAGTTAAAACTCTTGCATTTCAAACGTTCTCTTAGTATCTTTCTTTCAGAAATATCCCCATAGTTTTCTTTTCTTGCTGAAGGGTTTCTGTTGTAGAAGTGTTCTTTGTACTCATCCATCCACACCTCAGCAGCACGTGCTGTGTTCTGAAGGAAATTTGGTCTAGCATAGGGTGCACGCTTTGGAAACACATGACCTACATGGGAGCATGGATGAATTTCCAACATGCCTCCACACTGCCAAACTCTAAATGACAGTTCTAAGTTCTCCCCTCCCCAGACATCCATTCCTGTATCGTAGGTACCCAGATACTCAAAATACTTCTTGCTGACAGCAAACAAGCCACCAGCCATAGTTGGGGATCTGATTGGGTCAGTTTCAGATTTGCGCCTGAGACGCTCATGTTTAGGCACTGAGTGCCACTGGAATGTCAGACGCCAGTCAAACCCTCCGATCATGGGCTCTGCTGTCTGCATGTAGTATTCAAATGTTTTCCAGTCAATGGTGTCAATGACAGGACAAACAATAACAGTCTCGTTCTCAGCGATCCTCTCGAGCAGTGGTTCCAGCCAGCCAGACACACATTCACAGTGACAGTCTAGAAACGTGAGGACATCACCAGTTGCAAAGGTAGCGCCAATTAAGCGTGCACGAACCAATCCTTCTCGTTTGTTGGTTCTTATCAAACGGACTCTTTTCAGAGTGCTTATGTATTTTTCAAGTTCAGTCTTCAAATACACCTTATCACTCAAGTCATCTACCAGAATAATCTCTTTTAGAAGCACTGAAGGTGATGTTTCAAGAACACTATGTATTGTCCGCAGCAACGTTGACCAGGCTTCATTGTAAAAAGCGATTATAACAGATGTTGTGGGAAGTTTTCTGTAGTTGTAAGACTTAGTTTTACACCCATTCAGCCGATTATCTTCAATGTGCCGGTGGAGAGAGATTTTATCACTCAAATAAATATTAATGGCATACTTCTCAATCAGATCTTCTTCCTGTTTCTTTTCCTCAGGACTCAGCTGCAGGCGAGAGGGCTTGCCCCATTCTCCTGGGGCATAAGGATCAGGCGCGGATTTGTCATAAACTGGGCGAGCCAAATCCACAGCTTCTTCTGCTCTGTCAGAAAAGTGCCTCTCCCATTTCCCTTTGGTGATGCTCTCCCCGGCGAGAGAAGCACCGAAGGAAGAAACCGACAGCTCGACCACAAAGTAAGCGACCATCAAGAAGCCAAGAAACACGCAGCTTTTGCGGACCCACGTCCATCTTCTCGCCAGACGGATCCTCATGGTAGGCGATTAACAGCAGCTCCTAGCAGAGAGGAGCTCCGTGAACTAGCGCCGGCTCCCCGCCGCGCCCCCAGGACGGAGCGGGCTGCAGCTCTGGGCTCCTCCCTCCTTCGCAGCCCGTTCCTCCGGTGCCGGGCCCACAGCTTTCCCGGGGGACCGCGGCGGGAGCGGGACAGCAGCAGCGGCGGGGGGGGCGGCACGAAGCAGCCCCCCGCCCCTCCGGCCTCGGCCCTCCCCTCACTTACTTACTTCCTCCTCCTCCTCCTCTCTCGCCGCGGGACAAACCCCTCCTCCCGCCTTGTGGTTTGCTCTAAAAGTTGTCGCTTAAGGAAGGGGCAGAGACTCCTCGGCTCGCCCGGCCGGCGGGGGAGCCCGCCCAGCCTCCACCCCGGACCTGCGCCCGGAACTGCCCGGCGCCTCCCGGCTGGAAGGAGGGGGAGAAGGAGGAAGGAGAAAGCGAACTGCTCCGCTCTGAAAGATAAACAGCGCCCGGCCCTCAGCACTCACCCAGCCCCGCGGCGTCTGCGTTGAAGGCGACGCCCGTCACCGCCGCTCCGTGGCCTCGGAGGGGCCGAATCAAGACAGGGTCCTCCTGGGGAGAGGGTGCGTACCGTCAGCCTCCGGGAGGGGCGCCCCCCGCACCCCCCTCTCGGGAGCCGTTAGCGTCCCGCACGCAGCAAAAGCTGGGCGGCGAGCTGGCCCCGCACCCTCAGAGCTCCCACCGCCGGGGCGAAGGGCGCCGGGCGACACCCGAGGACCGCCCGTGCCCGGGACAGAGCCCTTACCAGCGCGGAGGCCATGGGCGGAGTGGGGCGCCGCAAGAACGGCAGTGCCGGAGCGGCACGGCAGCCCGTCAAACACCCCGCGCTCCAGGCGCGGCCGGCAGAGCCCCGAGTTCATCCGCACCGCCAATGCCGCGTCCTTCGAGTCGCCCATTCGCCAGGCGCCCCGCGCGGGGCGGGGCCGCACATCGCGGGGTAGGTGCTCGGCTCCCTCTTAAAGGCGTAGGGCCGCGGAGTGACCCCCTCGGGGCATGGCGGCAGCCGCTGTGCCTGAGGCCTCTTACTGCAGTTTAGCCGGAGGCAAACATGAAGAGGCAAAGCCTTCAGAGCTAGTGGAGATCTTACCTCGGTTTTGTGACTCACAAGAGGTTTCACCTCACCATGAGGAAGAGCTGCTATACTTTGAGCGCTGGAACAGGCTGCCCGCGGCGGTTGGTGGAATCTCCCTCTCTGGAGACATTGAAAACTTGCCTGGACGTGTTCCTGTGTGACCTGCTCTAGGTGGCCCTGCCTTGGCAGCGGTTAGACCAGATGATCTCCAGAGGTCTTTTCCGACCCTAATTATGCTGTGGTTCTGGGAAATTGATGCAGGATAGCTCTGTTTAGCACCTCAGACTGATTTTGTATTACATTACCTTAGGTAGTTTGTCTCTTTGTCTTTTTTTTTCCCAGTTGATTCTTTGCCCATTAATACTTTCTAGATTTCCAAGTCGGCATTCACATTTGTATCCTACAGAGTTGTCTGTAATCACTCCTTTAATGCTGTAGTAAAGTACAACGAGCTGTTCAAAAACCCCAAACAACAGCAACAAAAAAAAAAAGCCAGTCCAACACAGAAAGGTTGGCATTAGCAGTGCTGTGTATACTCGTGCTAGATAAGGGAACCGATCTTGCTGGAAAAGTGCTGCTCCAATAGCTGAGCTAGTAGAACCAGGGTTGACATCAGTTAGCAAAAGGGAGGGCTGTGATAGCAGAACTGCCATTCAATATGCAACTGCTCATGAAGAAGTAATTTATACTGCAATTAGCCTTTAATTTTTTTTTAAATCCAGTCTGCATTTTACAGTTTCATCTGACATTAAACTCTTACATCTACAGAATCAGGTCAGTAATTAGGCCAACATATAAGATTCGTCAGTTACAGGACAGTTTCAAATCAACTATTTAACCATGAAATGCACTTTTTCAATGATAATTTTAAAAGTGCTGAAAAAACCAGGATTATCTCAACAAGAGCATACGAAGGTTTCAATGAAAATCTGCTAGCCACATTGGTTTTATGCAGGCTGAGTATTTGCCTTTACCACTTCATAATATAAAAGGAAGGGTTTTTTTTAAATAGGTGGTGGGACAAGACACATTGACTTTAACTTGGACCTAATGAAAGCTTTATGTCATTATTACTGCTTCCAGCTCTGGGGCCACCAATGCAAGAAGGATGTGGACTTCTCAAGAGAGTCCAGAGGTGGGCCACTAAGATTATCTGAGGGCAACTCTCCTGTGGAGACAGGCTGAGAGAGCTGGGCTTGTTCAGCCTGGAGAAGAGAAGGCCCCGGGGAGACCTTGTAACAGCCTTCCGGTACCTATAGGGGGCCTACAAGAAATCTTGGAGAGGGACTTTTTACAAGGGCATGTAGTGACAGGACATGGGGAATGGCTTTAAACTGGAAGAGAGTAGAGTTAGATTAGGCATTAGGAAGAAGTTCTTTACTGTGAGGGTGATGAGGCACTGGAGCAAGTTGCCCAGAGAAGTTGTGCCTGCCCCATTCCTGGCAGTGTTCAAGGCCAGGTTGGATGGGGCTTTGAGGAACCTGGTCTACTGGAAAGTGTCCCTGCCCATGGCAGGGAAGGTTGGAACCAGATGAACCCTTCCAACCCAAACCATTCTGTGATTATTTGTTCTTGGTTTGGTTTGTTGGTTTTGGTGGTTTTTTTTTCCCTTTTTCCTACACAACTCACTCCCTTTATGTTAGCTCCTGATATTGGTTATCACTACCTAAAAGGCAGCATTTGAAAAAGTTGGCACTGAAGACTTAAGTGTACCCCTATACTACCCTATTGCAGGAGCAGTATGTTAACTAGTTAAATTCACTTGTCCTCTTCACCACGACTGAAGTCTTCCAGACGTTTCTCAGCTGTTTTTTGAGCTATCTTTCTCCTAGAGTTTATCAGCTGTAAATGATGCCTCTCAGCAGGGAGACAGCCTGTCCCTCTGGGAAGCAGGTTTACTACCAGATTTTGAGTGATCTTAAGTTATTCTATCCTTCCCAAAACTCCCCTCTGTGCAGCTTTAATTGTGTATTATGGTATCTCAGTATTTCTGCCACCTTATGTTCTCAGGTTCAGATGTGTTCATAAAGCTCCTTAACACCAAGAGGACAGAAGCACGTGTTACTTTATTTGCAAGCTGAGCTATATGACAGTTCCCAGTCATGCTGAACCTTTTTCCTTTTTCCTTCTTCACAGCTGCTACAGTACCAGCAGCTCAGCATCCCTTATTCATTTTGGGCTGCTAGCTATAAAGTGAAATCTGTACCAGCCCACAGAACTCCTGAATTATAAAGTGCCAGGTGATAGGTATAAAGCAAAGAATGGACTGTGATTACCGAGAAAAAGAAGGGTGGCATCCTTCTTTCTATAAGTTGCTGGAATAGTGTTTCTCAAATTGCAGGGCTTACAAAGTTAGTCTGTTCCATGCTGCTTCTCCTTACCTGCCAGTGTTTTGAAGACTCCCAAATGCTTGTAGAAAGCAAAGTATTCCCTTGGCGCAGACGTGTAATTAGCTGTAATGACTGCAGTTATAAAGCTGGCAGGTATAGTTTTTATGCTGATTATTTTTTCTCATTAACATGAATAGATTTTATTTTTAGAATGAAGATTATTGTAAGTCCTAGTAATTTAATGCAATTATGAGTTGGCATTGTGTTTTTGAGGTTGAGAATAAGTGATCCACAATAGGGAAGAGCAATCTACTGCATTAAGTTGTTATGCACTGTGATGACAATGATAAATGGTGCCTCAGAAAACATCTTCCAGGCATCATGTCTCAGTAAGCTGTTGTTTCAGCAGCTGTGGAGTTTTTTCTCGGACACTGAGTTAAGGTAATGGGTGACCAAACAGTAACCATGTATACGGAGAAACACTTTAAGTTTCTAACTCAAGGTTCATGCAGGCTGCATGGTCACTGTGGGAAAGGACCTAGTAGAAGTACATGTAGAATTCAAGGACACTTAGAAAAACCTGGTACCCTTTGTGCATGTAAGTAAATTACACTGATCACATGTGATTTGGTGATAACTGAGGTCATACAGTGTATATGCACAAGTGGCAAAGGTAATATACTAACCCAGCTAAAATTCTGTCATATCTAAAATGAGGACTTTTTACTCCGTGTTAAACCTGCTTAAAAATAAAACCGACAGCCCCAGCTTTAATTGCTGGGATCATACTGGGAGCAGCTGTGTTAGCAGCAGGGCTGTTCAGACCCCGGGAGAGGCCTTTTGCCCTCGGCCTGGGGAACCTGAACAGGCGGTGGTGCGCCGTGGGCACTAGAGGGGAGTGTGAGATACGGTTTGCTAGCGTGATGTCGATTATTCATCCACATCCACCTACATGCAGGGGAAGAATGTAGTCTCAGGGCACAAGGGTTTAATTACAGGCTGTCTTGCAGTTGTAGACCCATAATACCTTATGCCCCTGGCACCTTTCCAACCTCTGATCCTACCTTTTTTCTCCTACATCAAAATGGTTATGAAAGTAAATACTGAGACTGTAAAGTAACTTGTGCAGTACTGTTGGGTTTTTTGGTTTTGTTGGTATTTTCTTACCAACAGCCCATTAAAACCTGTTTGCCCACTGCAGCAAGAAAACAGAAAAGGATGTCAAGTAGGTACATATAGATTTGAAATGTTAGGATGATTTGGTATATGATGTTACTTACAGCCTAAGAAACTTGTAGTCTAAGAAACATCCTGGGGTCCTGATGTGTGTGGTTGCTAAGCCTTTCTCCATCATATTTGAAAAGTTATGATAGTCAGGTGAAGTCCACAGTGACTGGAGAAAAGGGAATAGCACATCCAGACCCTGGGAATTGCTGACCAGTCAGGCTCACCTCTGTGCCCAGTAAGATCATGGGGCAGACCCACCTGGAAGTTGTGTTGAAGCATATGGAAGATGAGGAGGTGATTAGAGACAGCCAACACGCTTTACCAAGGGTAAATCATGAGTGATCTAGTGGCCTTATATGGTGGAGTGACTGGACCAGTGGACAAGGGAAGAGTAAATGATGTCATCTACCTGAATTTCTGTAAAGCCTTTAGTAAGGTTGCCCAAACCAGCCTTGCCTCTGTATTGAAGTGATATGGATTTGATGAATGGACTATTAAATGGATAAGGAATTGGATGGATGGTCGCACCCAGAGAGTTGCAGTCTTTGTGTCCAAATGTAAATCACTAATGAGTGGTATGCCTCAAGGGTCTGTTTTGGGATCAGTACTACTTAATAACTTCATTAATGACATAGTGGGATTGAGTGCACTTTCAGCAAATTTGTGGATGACACCAAGCTGAGTGATGCAATTGATATGATAGAGGGAAGGGGTGTCACCCAGGGGACCTTGACAGGATTGAGGAATGGGTCCATGCAAACCTCATGAAGTTCAGCAAAGCCAGGTGCAAGGTCCTGCACCTGGGTTGGGACAGTCCTCAGTACCAATATAGACAAAGGGATGAATGAACTGAGAGCAGCCCTGTGGAGAAGCACTTGGGGGTACTGGTGAATGGAAGCTGGACATAAGCCACCAGTGTGTGCTTGCAGCCCAGAAATCCAACTGTATAGTGGGCTGTGTAAAACATAATGTGGCCAGCAGGTCAAGGGAGGTGATCCTGCCCCTGTGCTCTGGTGCTATGCCACCTGGAGTACTGCATCCAGCTCTGGGGTCCCTATGCAAGAGACCTGTTAGAACAGGGGGAGAGGAGGGCCACGAAGATGATCAGATAAGATTTACCTATCAGTTGTAGCTGATAGATATTTGAGATTTTTCCTTGCTCAACAGATTGTATTTGTACTGAAGGCTAAATAAAAGAACTTCAAACTGCCTGAAGGGAAACCTGT